GCCCTTCCAAATTTTCCATGATCACACTAGAATTCACACTGCACCTTGCAAGTTGCAACTAAACCGACATTTAGTAAACTGTCAAGAATACACAACTTGGACCTCCTTACTAAATGGAAAACCTATAATCGCATTTTCGGTGAAATTTATTGGGAAGGTATTTATCTACTTATAATTCGAATACTGTAAGAAATTCTTGGAATTAAAATAAAACAAAATTGGCAAATAGGTACTTATTGAAAATAATCTTAAGATACGGCTATGTAATCTTTAATACACAGGGCTTTTGGCCTGTCCAAACCTTTTTCTATTGTTCTGTACAGCTTATGTTTATAAAGGACCAATAAAAGACCCAAAACTTGTAATAGCTCAGGTACATTTATTACAATTTTAGGAAATATTTAGATTATTCTGTAAAAATATTTAAAATGACCGTACTAAGTTTTGCATTAGAAATGCTGTTTTATTACTCTCTCATACATAAAAATAGACTATAGCCACAAACAAATTCAAAACACTATTCCATTTCTTAATCCGAGATGTAAATATTATAGGGCACACCTGTTACATGAAAAAAATGCACCTCGTCCTGTCCTGACTTACGAACAGGTATTTTTTCGCACTCTTGCTGACCCACAACCTAGAGCGATATTTACATATCTTCATCTTCGTCATTGGCGGTCGGGGCCAGTTTTGGAGACAAGATGTGGCTTACGTGCGGGTCATAAAGTGTGCCGACGTCATCTTCAGCGAGTCGGAACGCTATAACGGCCTTGTAGGTCGTATATCAGCCTAGAATTAGAAGAATACGAACGGCACGAAAGGAAATGCGCTGCTAGTGCATCGGGCCAGGCCAGGATTAAGTTCAACTGCATATGAATGGGTAAAAAGAATCGCACAGATTATGTTTTTGATGAAAACAAACTGTTATCATTTACCAGAAGTGTTCCGCCCTTAAGCGTTACAAACTTGATAATAATTTCAAGCAATTTCTAGGAATCACTTTTGTTAAAACAAAATTTCAGATTTGTAGGTACCATAAATGGTTCCTATATGGTCTGCAGGCCAAAACGCACAGTTCTGATCTAAATGCAAGATTTAATCAGCTCATTTCTCTCTTCATCTTCACATTGAACAAAATATTACAAAAGAGGAGAGGCCAGATGTGAGTCAGATCGAGAACTTCACGTTGACTTATGGACTGAATCATTAGATATGGCCGGTGTCCTTTCTTATTTAGACATCTAGTGTTTACTTTTATAGATTTTTATGTTAGATCGACGAAGACTTTGATTTTATCATTATCAGTTAAGTACTTTTAATAATCTTGTCAATAAACTTTTCAACCATGTTTCTATTTAATTAAAACAAACACATTTGGCATTTTCAACATTATTAATAGTTCAATTTATGTATTCTCAAAATGGATATGGTTGGTGCTAGAGCTGAAATTAATAAATATATTAAATAATTATTTGGTCCTTTATGGCCATACGTGCGAAGTATTTCAAATCAAAAACTTAGTCACGGTCCCTAATATGAACGAATAATCGAGGCATTAAAAAAATTTACAGCCATATCCTCGACGTGACACATTAATAGTGGTTTAATGATTTAATTGCGAATTAAATATGTACGAACCGTTGCGGAAAGGATAGAAATCATGCATGGCGTATAAATTGATTAAATCACCGTCGATTTGTTAAGGTTGATATAGACTCTCAATAAAGATGAGCTAGTAATATTTTAAGGATGGGGTATCCTTCGGATTTTACGTGATTCATCCGATTTATTCCAGGTATCTATTGCCTAGAGCAGTGGTCGCCAACCTCTCAATGTGTTGAGCTACTTTGTTAATTTTGGAATAAACAGCGAGCTACCCACACGGAAGCCACGTAACGCAACGTAAATGAAATAATCCACAGTTAATTTATCATTATATGTATTTATTTTTCTATTTAACTGGTAATACATAATACATAGGTACTAATAATAAACTAATAACTAATATTACTAGTACGTACTTGTTCATAGCTACATTCCTACCTACCAAACGAAGGTGTTTAAAAAGTAAACACAAACTTTTATCCAGCCACAACGGCATGTCACGTAAGATTTAAAAATAGTTAATAATAACAACAAAAAAATAACGCACTATCATGAACATAAACATTGAAAAATAAAAAAGCACGTTCAATGAGAAGGCTGACACTCGGACTCATCGATAATTTTTTTAATGTTTGCAGTATAATTTGATACAGCCATTCGAATACAATTATCCAAATGTTCATCTGTAAGTCGATTGCGATAATTGTTCTTAATAAACTTCATATTGGAAAAAGAAGATTCACACAAATAGGTTGAACTGAATAATGCTTTCACTTTCAAGGCAACACGGCATAGAACTGAATATTTGTCTTTACTTACAATAGGCCAGATACATTTGGTACTTGAGACTAACGATTTTAAGGTTAAATCATTTTGAAACTCAATTACTTCCATTTCTGTTGCAGCGATGTCTTCGCCAAAGTTCTGCATAACACAAGTTGCAAACTGTTGGATATCAATTTCCATAAAGGGTGAAACAACAAACTGCGCTACTAAAGCCATTTCGTTGAAATCCTTAAAACTATTTTTGAAGTTATTCTTCAGGGTAGAAACTATTTCTATATAATATTTGTTGTCATAGGGTTCTAATGGATTTTGAGATATTTTTTCTGAAAGAATAGGAAAATGCTTGGCATCGCTGTTAATTAGGTTTTGTTCCCAAAACTCCAGCTTTTTGATAAATGCTTTTATATCAGAAATCATTTCCGCTAGTTCTTTGTCTCTCCCCTGAAGCTGCAAATTAATTTTGTTTAATTTCTCTGTAATGTCCACGAGAAAACCAAAATCTCTAAGTCAGATTGAATTTTCTAGTTCCGGAGTCGGTTCATCGCGTTGTTTGAAAAATTGAACTATGTCAGATAGGACATCATTAAAACGTTTCAGCACCCGTCCTCTACTTAACCATCGGACTTCAGAGTGAAGGAGTAGGTCCCCGTATTGACAGTCAACTTCATCGGCCAAGGTTTTGAATAATCTGTGTAACGCTTGAGCTCTAATCTTGTTCACAATTTTACCACCAGTTTCATAACGTTGTTTAGTTTCAGGAAATTTCCATATAATGCTTGCTGATAGATAATGCAGTGGTAACAGAGAAATTGCGGAAAAGTTTCATCTTTACGACATAACGCCACCAGACCCTTATCACAACCCACCATAGCTGGAGCGCCATCGGTTGTCAAGCCTATCATTTTCGATATTGGAATTTTCTCGGAAGAAATAATATTTTTTAAATGAGAAAACAACTCCTGTCCAGTAGTGTGTCCTTTCAGTGGAATAAACTTCAAAAGATCTTCTTTAATCGTAAAATCGCTAAAAACCATCCTGACGAACACGGCCATCTGGGCAGTGTCAACGACATCTGTTGATTCATCCACTTGAAGTGAAAAATAAAAACAGTTATCTAAGTCAGTTCTTAACTGTAAAAAAATATCATTGCTCATTACTTCTACACGTCTCATCACTGTATTAGCAGAAAGTTGCATAGATTTTATAGCTGAAACTATCTCGTCTTTATTTCTAAAGTTGGCAAATAACGAATCAGCAGTTTCTAAAAACGCCTGTTTTATCATTTCCCCGTCTTCATAAGGTTTGTTTCTTTGTGCAATTATATGGGACACACGGTACGATGCTTCAGTTGCAGCCCTATTTTTGTCGACTGTTCTTAAAAATATTGATTGTTGTCCAATTAACTGCTTTTTAACTGTTTCAGTTTCTCCTTTCTGGCGGCAGAATGTAGTGGGAATGATTTTTCAAAATTAGAATGTACAGTTTTATGATGTCAACAAACACACATTTTTATCTTTAACTTCTGTAAAAAAGTATTGTTCTTCCCATTCCGAATGAAAGTGGTATGTCTTTACCTTCTTACAACTGCTTGCCATAATATTATTTTTTGTTGTTCTCTACTAACCCAACCGCTGGACGTTGGTTACGCGTTCAGTTTTAAACTAAGCGCAATGTCGCCGCGCCGTGCGTATTTATTCCGTTCAAAGCAATCCTGATCGTTCTCGAACACTAACGCGCTGGTCCGGCTGGTCGGTTCTAGCCGATTCCAGCTTGATGGCGTCAGCGGCAGATCGCTCACCGCAACGTTGCCGCTGTTTATGTTTAATATTATGAAAATTAGATTTTTTTGTGGAATTTTCGGAAACTTCTCTGATTTTTGCAGTTTGTATTTTTTAAATTAAAATCGTTGTGAGAGCTACCAGAATTGCCTCCGCGAGCTACCGGTAGCTCGCGATCGACAGGTTGGCGACCACTGGCCTAGAGATAAAATTAGTGCAAATAATTACATAATTCTTTGTTTTGGTTCACATTCGTAACTGTTCTAGAACTCTTCCAAAACCTGTTGAGCATGCGCAGTAGATATTCGCTGTTTGGTTTCGCCAGAACTAGTTCCGAATCTGTAAGTTCTCGAACAGTAACTTCGGTTCTGACCCAAAGCGAGAACTGTTTCAGAATTTCAGAGTTGATATTGCAAGTAGTCAGATACCTAAAGATAAGATCAAAAACAAAAAATAATGAATTACTTATTAATAAAATTGATAAATCAATAGAAAAATACAAAAATGCATGTTCTAAGCATGTAAAGGATATATTTGAACTACTACTACTAAAAAAAAAAATAATACTTCTCAAAATTTAAAATAATTTACAGGACACTAGATAAAAATTTCAGATTAGTTACATATCCATCTTTTCTTAAAACTAGTGTAGTAATACCACTGCATAAAAGCATTTAACACTGTTTCTCATAAAATCTCCAATTATATGGTCTCTGAAGAAAGGAATAATTCTAAATTCTTCTGTTGTATAATTTTTTTATACCTATTTTTAGATTCTAAAGTTTTTTCTCTGTTATTTTCAGGTCCGACAGTGGTGCAGCTGTAAGTATGCTGCACGTCACTGAGGATACTCCCCCGGACATGTTGGCAGGAGCAATGGACCTCACGGTTCATCTTCCTACGGGAATAACTGCCAAAATGGCGGTGGAAAGGAGGTAAATCAATAATTTTATGTTAAAAAAAAAGTTGCCTCTAAAAATTGTATCTATTTAATAACTTTTTTAAACAGTACCCCAATGATGGACCTCCTGGTTCAAATAACCACCGCTCACCATCTCCAACTGTCGAACTACTCCCTTCAAGCGCTAGGAACGGCACCTTCGTCAGATCATCGAGACAAAATCTTGCCGTACAAGCCCAATACGCCAATCGGAACGTTGGACACTCAGCATATCAAAGTAGTACCAAAAATTAGAACCATTCCAGTACCAAAAAATGTGCCGCCTGGTCATCAACCGTTCGAGAGTACGTTTAGACTGAAAGTGCATTTACCCAGGAACCAATTGTACGTGGCTAGAGTTAGTAGGAATGTTAAGTTAGAAGATATTATGAAGAAGGTTTGCGAAGAGAAGAATTTGGATCCCGCAAAGTACGAATTTAAACATCCAGGTTAGTTTTATTTAATAATATACTAAACAAATAATGACATTTCACAAAAAACTAGACGACTATGTTTTTTAAAATTGATAAGAAATAATTTCTTTCATATTCTGTCTCCTAGACCACAAGTCCACCCTGTACCAATTGGAATCAACATGTGATACATTTTTGAAATCAGCTCAGTTAGAGTAATCCGAAAATTGAGAAAAAATGGGGGTGTTCCATTTAAAAAAAATGACGGTGACGTCATTACTCGAAAGTAATTCACCCTGTATATTAGATTATTATTTTAAAATACGGTAAATTAAAATCAAAAATCGACGTGTTTCAGGATTATTTTTTAAAATGATCTGTTTAGCTAAAAATGAATTTGTTCCATACTTTACGGACACACTGTATAACATTTGAATTGATTGCAGAATAAATGATTATTAAAAGTATTGGTGCAGCTAGAACATGGGATATTAATTTTTCGATTTGTCTTTTTAGGCTCATTATAATTATTTTAGGAGCTAGTCGAACGTCAAAATATAATTCTAATCCATTATGGATCTTTATTTGATTTTGTCGAGAAGACAACTATATTGGGATACCTGTCATTTACGAGTAGGAAATTCTCATTTTTATAGTTTTAATCTCCACAGTTTCTAAGAAATTCTGAACGTCATCAACAATTTTATACAATTTAGGAGCTATTCCTAATTTTAAATAATAAATATTCTAAACCTTTTTGGATCTCTATTGTATTTTTCGAATTTTCAAACTTTCTAAGCTTAGTATAATTATTTTAGGGGGTAGTTTAACATAGAAATTTAATTCTAAATCTTTTTGGATCTTTATTGTATTCTCCTGTTGATTGACAATTTTTTCCAAGTCGTAATTCGATTTGAAATTTGTAATTTTCGAATTTCCAAACATTTTAGTCTTACAAACGCCGACATATAATGGTAAACGTTTTTGACTTTTTATTGTGCCTTCCTGTCAATTGACAATTTTTTCCAAGTCGTAATTCGATTTGAAAATTATAATTTTCGAGTTTTCAAACTTTTTAGACTCATAATTATTATTTTAGATAGTGATCAAACGCCAAAATATAATGGTAAAGGTTTTTGACTTTTTATTGTACCTTCCTGTCGATTGACAATTTTTTCCAAGTCGTAATTCGATTTGAAAATTGAAATTTTCGAATTTTCAAACTTGTTAGGCTTATAATTATTATTGACAAGGGGGGTAGCCATGTGTGAGTTGAGGTAATTTTAAGGTGAAGGGGGAGAAAAAGTCCTTTATATCTCACAAGGAAAGTCAATGTTTAATTATTTAACAAAATATTGAGTGCGACCGGTTTCGAAGTGTCATCACTTCATCTTCAGGCTCGCCTAGTGGAAAGGAGAATATGTGGTGTAAGGTGTGTTAACACTTAGAGCAAACGATATATAAAATAGTAAAAAAGAGAAAACTCATCATACTCTCCATCCACTAGGGAATACTACAAAACAAGTTTCATCAAATGTGGGGTGAAACAAATTGTAAAATGAACAAAGTTTACAAGTAATAAAAAGTTAAAAATATTTGAAAAACAAATATTAGTCAATTGAAATAGTAAAAATTTAAAATATTCAAGACCATACAAAACAAATCACATACATTAAACAGATTAAAAGATAAGGCTTATTTTAAACAACCTTGTTTTTTCAAAAAAAACTAACATTTTTGAAAGGAGACCTGTCAAGTTAAGGCCTCTACAGGTGGTGGCAAGTATTAACAAAAAAATTCTTGGGTAAACCCATGACAGGGTATAGGTAATAAGATGTAAACTATGAGTGAAGAAATATTTATTATTTATTATATAAGATTTGGGCCATGAACCAATCACCAAGTGTATGTGATGTTGTAGGAAGAAGAAAGAAGAAGAAATGACTGGGTTAACTGTTGTGAAGCAACTGAAGAATAAAAGAAGAAAATGACGGATGTGAAATCACACAATCTAACCTAATCTTTAAACGTGCTCGTTGGTTTCTTATGGGAAAAAAATTACTTACTGAAATGTACCCCTTGCAAGAAAATATGTGAATAGAAATAAAGGGGGAGGTTAAAAAGGAAGTTTTTTTTTCCCATAAGAAACCAACGAGCACGTTTAAAGATTAGGTTAGATTGTGTGATTTCACATCCGTCATTTTCTTCTTTTTTTCTTTTATTCTTCAGTTGCTTCACAACAGTTAACCCAGTCATTTATTCTTCTTTCTTCTTCCTACAACATCACATACACTTGGTGATTGGTTCATGGCCCAAATCTTATATAATAAATAATAAATATTTCTTCACTCATGGTTTACATCTTATTACCTATACCCTGTCATGGGTTTACCCAAGAATTTTTTTGTTAATACTTGCCACCACCTGTAGAGGCTTTAACTTGACAGGTCTCCTTTCAAAAATGTTAGTTTTTTGAAAAAACAACAAGGTTGTTTAAAATAAGCCTTATCTTTTAATCTGTTTAATGTATGTGATTTGTTTTGTATGGTCTTGAATATTTTAAATTTTTACTATTTCAATTGACTAATATTTGTTTTTCAAATATTTTTAACTTTTTATTACTTGTAAACTTTGTTCATTTTACAATTTATTTCACCCCACATTTGATGAAACTTGTTTTGTAGTATTCCCTAGTGGATGGAGAGTATGGTGAGTTTTCTCTTTTTTACTATTTTATATATCGTTTGCTTCAAGTTAACACACCTTACACCACATATTCTCCTTTCCACTAGGCGAGCCTGAAGATGAAGTGATGACACTTCGAAACCGGTCGCACTCAATGTTTTGTTAAATAATTAAACATTGACTTTCCTTGTGAGATATAAAGGACTTTTTCTCCCCCTTCACCTTAAAACTATAATTATTATTTTAGATAGTTACCAAACGCCGAAATAGAATAGTAAACGTTTTTGACTTTTTATTGTGCCTTCCTGTCGATTGATAATTTTTTCCAAGTCGTAATTCGATTTGAAAATTATAATTTTCGAATTTTCAAACTTGTTAGACTTATAATTGTTATTTTAGATAGTAATCGAACACCAAAATATAATGGTAAACGTTTTTGACTTTTTATTGTGCCTTCCTGTCGATTGACAATTTTTTCCAAGTCGTAATTCGATTTGAAAATTGTAATTTTTGAAATCTCAAACTTGTTAGGCTTATAATTATTATTTTAGATAGTTATCAAACGCCGAAATATAATAGTAAAGGTTTTTGACTTTTTATTGTGCCTTCCTGTCGATTGACAGTTTTTTCCAAGTCGTACTTCAATTTAAAAATTGTAATTATTTTATTTTGAAGCTTTTTATACTTATAATTATTATTTTAGATAGTGATCAAACGGCGAAATATAATGGTAAACGTTTTTGACTTTTTATTGTGCCTTCCTTTTTATTGAGAATTTTTTCCAAGTCATATTTCGATTTGAAAGTTGCAATTTTCGAATTTTCAAAGTTTTAAGACATAACTAATATTTTAGATGGTGATCAAACGCTGAAATATAATGGTAAACGTTTTTGACTTTTTATTGTGTCTTCCTGTCAGTTGACAATTTTTTCCAAGTCGTAATTCGATTTGAAAATTATAATTTTCGAATTTTCAAACTTGTTAGGCTTATAATTATTCTTTTAAATAGTGATCAAACGCCAAAATAGAATGTTAAACCTTTTTGACTTTTTATTATGCCTTCCTGTCGATTAATAATTTCTTCCAAGTCGAAATTCGATTTAAACATTATGTTTTTAAAACTTTTTGGGCTTAAAATCTAATAAATGAATATCAAAGTGCGTGATAATGTGCTAACAAGTCATTTATTAGTAATATTCCTACAGTCTGTTCGCTATACTTACGGGGGTTTCAGATTAAAAATTTTATGAGTATTTCCAGGTAAGTACCCGAAAGTTTGACCTGTTCTTTGGGGAAATATCAACTGGTTAAATGAAATGAAAAATAATGTACAACTTTTTAATTAAATAATAATGGAGAATCTTTTGTATAATTACAGAGCAGAATTAAACTTCTTCATTAATGGAGTCTAATGTGGCTATTATAAACCTAATAATAATTTTATATTATACTTCACACAGAAAATATGGTCTATGTATAATAAGAGGGTTATTTAGCTCAAATAAAATATTTTCTAACATAAAAATTTGTTCCATGTAGAGAATTTCAAATGAAAAATAAAAATATTGAACTTGCCAACAAAAATGAAAATCAATCATTATCATCCAAAATATCATAATCGTCATCATCATCACTGTCATCACCATTAATTGTCATTTTGATTGGACTTATTGCGTTTATTTTATTTTATTTTCACGAGTCCACTAATCTTCTATTAGTTTCTCGCATTTGGATATACAGTTCCGCCACACTTCTGAAGTTGCAGTTGAAAGTGCTTTCCGCCAAATTTCCCGAACTGCGTCGTCACTATAACCATTAGGCCCAATATGGTTGTCATAATATTGTTCTGCTATTCCCCATATATATTCGATGGGATTAAACTGGCAATGATACGGTGGCAGACGTAAAACTTGACCGTAACTTTCAATAATCTGATCCATAACAAAGGGTTTTGGTTTTGCGTGTATATTTGCCAAGCGTAATAATTCTGATTTTAATATATATTGAGGAAATGGTATATGTTCCTTTGTCAACCATTCTTTAATTTTATCAACAGTCCAAGAAATCGTTGGACTTTTGTTAAATACTTAAGAATGGTAAGGTGCATTGTCTAAAATAATTACGCTGGGCTCACTTAAACCTGGGAGAAGTTTTTCATGCAACCATTTTATAAATATTTCTGTGTTCATATTATCGTGATAGTCACTGGATTTTGATTTAGATGAAAATATTAAATTAGCACCTTCTACCCGATTTCCCTTCGGCCTCAATTCTCGACTTCACCGGAAAATTTTCCCATGGATAAATATTCCCATGCTTATATTCCAGTGGTATTATAAAATGGTATTCTC